GATTTTTCATTGTTCATCTTTCATCCGTATGGAACGTCGACCGACTCTGTTGCCGGCAGGCGTGACGCGTTCAACATCCAGGTGAAGGCGGTATGCGTGAACATGGCTCGGAAGACAGAGATGTGCTCAGCGACCGAGAGGCAAAGAAATGCGGATGATGTATCATTGAGGAATGGCGCAATCTCCAGGTCCGGCGTATGCAACGTCGTCCATATCTCGTTGATTATTGACATTAGTGAAGCGAACCTAAAGTATGACATGCGTCGTCTCAAAGAGATCCTGTCGTTTCCTAAGGCGTGGTACCGACGGTCGATAATGAGGCGACTGTTCTTTGGAGCCACCGAGAAGACCGACGGCACTGAGACAACAAGAGTGTCAATTTTATCATCGAATATCGACATTCTTCGTCGCACACCTAGTACAAAAAGCCGACGCAGTACTGGCACGCACGCCACTGATGACAAGAGCGCTGCTTCGATTGTCGCCGAATCAAGGACGACAAATACGATGACACCCTCGATGGTAAGACAGTCTTCCAAAGATTCATTTGATTTGGCGACATATGGCGTCGGTCAGAACAACGCTGCTGCCACTGCCGCTGCTGCCGGAAGCGAATCAAACTGGGAGGCAGTTGTGTTGGTGACGGTCAACATCCGAAACATCTTTATGGAAGCTATGATTGGTCAGGCGATGGGACACACAACATGGCATATTGAAGGTTCGACCGTAGAAGGGCTCATCGAAGCCAACTGTCTGCGAGACAGGAGCATCTGTCTGTCGTTTTCGCTCGACTCGTCGACGTTCGAGGCGAAGGGCGGTGTGATTAGTGGCCTGCTGACGCTGACGTCGTGTGAGTCTTTCATTAGTTCGCGTACGGCCGCATTTGAAACTCCTCAGCATTTGCTGGGAGCTCGAATCGACGCGTTGGAAGCCAGAGTGGAATGGATGAGCGCTACGATATTCATCATTCGATTTACGGAGCTGGTGGCCAGGATCAGAGACGAATGGAAGGTCAGCTTTGACCAATCACAGGACACTGACAGCGAGTTGATGGCGATGTCACAGGCGGAGAAGTGCTTCGTACTGCTGCTTGGTTCGGTAAGTTGGAGCGAGCTGCAGGCAGTGATGACGAAGACCACAGTCAGCGACTACGTCCGAATTTATAACAAACTGTATGAATTTGCAGAACAGCAATTCAAGAGCGGACGTATGATTTTATTCTTTGACCAGTTACCTAAAGGTGACAGTGAGTTGTCGGATGGTGAGTCAAATCCGGCGAATTCAGCGACAGTTTGCGCTGCCAGACGGGGCGCTCGCTATCGTCATTGGCAAAAGGCGCTCGAGTTGATCACCAAGATTCAGCTGCAGTCGGCGGATTTCTTCCCTCTGCCGAAGAATGCCACGATTTTGGGTAGCTCACTGGAATTCACGGGAAAGGAAATAGCGTTAGCCTGTTTCCATGGCTCTAATTTCGCCGCTTCTCAACAGTGGGCGTTGTTTTACTTACGCGAGGCGTATATCAATTTCAACTCTGAAGCCAAGGACGTGATCATTGATGAGAAGTTCGGTGCGATGATCAATCAGGACCTGATGTTCAAGTTAGGGGGCGAAGGCATGGTTAGGAGCGATCGGCCAATGGCCGTGATTTTGCGGGTACAACGCAGTCAGTATTGGCCGACGCAGTTGAGCAGCATCGATGAATGGTTCCATTATACTTGTCAGGCACCGCTACAGCAGACATTTCCGGATTATGCTTCGCCGGTGTCCGCCT